ACACACACACACACACACACACACACACACACACACACACACACACACACACCCCTCAGGTTTTATTAACTCAATGTCCAACGTGTCCTCAGGCACATTTAATCTTTATTGACGCTTCAGAAAGAAGAAAGTCTGATAAAGTTTCAACATTGTTTTCTTTGACTTCTGTCATCCTGGAGTTTGTGGGTCCATCACTTCCTGCCTGGTTCTGACTCCTACTTGAGCGCTACAGGATCCAGAGTCTGAAACACTTTCAGCTCAGTATCTGATTAGAATAGAAAAACTTTATTATCTGTCCGATGGTGACAGAAATTCTTCTTTGACAGGGGCTCCAATGATTCCCACACAAGCATCTCAACAAATACAGACAAAGGGGTGTACCCCGCCCCTCGCACTGTGACTGCTGGATATGGGCGCCAGTGACCCACGCAACCCTGAAAAGGAAGAAGCGTGTACAGAAAATGGATGGATGGATGGATAATAAAAGTGCTTAAAAAAAACTAAATTAAAAAACACAAGTTAATCTAATAATTTCTGTCTGTAGTCTAATAAATTTGTAATTTCAGAATAATGTCACTTACTTCAAATTTTATTTTTCAAAGCTTTTTGCATTATTAGTACAGTTAGGAATAGACTTTGCAGTTCAGCTTGTGCCTCATACAGTTAGCATGTGTCTTGTGACAGGACTGACTCAGAGATGTGATGGGACTCAGATTTGTTTTTTTTTAGTGCTCTGCTGTGTGGTGGGACTAACAAGGAGAGGGGGATAAGTGTTGTTTTCTGCAGGGGAAGCGCACGAGATGAGGAATGGGGGGAAAGACGTAATGAATAACAGGGGGAGCCATGAAAGCGTAAAACACAAAGATTGATGGAATATCCACTCAAACCACAAATGTGTCAAGTAAAGAGCTGCAGGGCAGCAAACGGGGACAACAGAGTGAGAGAATTGTGATTAGTTTTAGTTTAACAAGGCTGCTGTGTGCAGATTGGAGCAATGCTTTGAATTATCTTATTTTTCTAAAAGACTGAATTTGGTAGTTTAAAAGWAAAACATATGATATTCTTCATTTGGCTGTGTAGGGTCATAAATTCCCACGTGCACACACCACCTCCCCACTACATTGTTTGCCCTTGGCTATGGCATCATAAGACAGAGTCGTGCCTGTGAATGTGACCGAACACTGAATAAACCCTTTTTTAAATGATTAGCAGAAGTTTTGATTTATCTGTATGAGTTTTTTTACACAGCATATCTATTTCTTTTGACACAAGGTTGGAAATAAACTAAAAAGACAGGTGGAGTAAGAACGAGTCTGGAAAAACACTCAGGACAAAAAAATGAGAGGTCATATCTTAAAACGCACTGACAGAACTGAATATGGAGGAAGGGAAATGCAACGCGCTGTTTCAAAGATGAATATTCTCCACGGATAATCAATTTTAGGTTGGAAGAAAGATGAAGCACAAGAATAACACTGGTATAAAGGAAGAAAGGAGTACATAAAAAGAAAATGGTGTAATGTGTATGCACAAAAGTTTCACAAAGAACACTCAGCTGAGCTTTCTGACATTCTGTTTTGGCTTTCAGAGCAGTAATTCTACCTCTCTTCAAGAAATGTGCTGCAAATCAACTCACCACGTCAATAATTTGGAGCAACGTCAGGCCGAGCTCCACCACAATGGGCGCGGAGTCGTTTTGGACTGGCCTCTCGAGTCGATTGTAGTTTACCATCAGGTCGTGGTACAGCTTCCTCTGGTGCACGCCTCCGTCACATCCTGCGTGGAAGAAATGATAATTGCACAAAGGAGATGCAGTCAGGCTGCACAACGTCCACAGAGAGGGTAAGCATTGTTTAGAGGTCTGTAGAACTTAGAGTAAATCTTGTTTTCTTCAACGCAACAAAAACTGAAACATGTAAACTGTAAAGTAACTAATCTAACATGTATCTAAATAAATAGTTGACAAAAATCATTTTTCTGCTTATATTTCAGTCAATAGAAAACAATCAAAATAATCATACTGTAATCTCACCTTGTGTTTCTGTGCTCATGTTGATTAATTCCCTCAAGAAATGCTGAATAAGTTAGAATATATTGAACGTAATGAATTCACTATTGACTGAGCCTTAATTTGTTGACTGTTGTTTCATTTAGTCTCTCCTGAATTCATTAGGTCTCATCAAGTGGTTTACGCTGAACAACAAGGCATATTTAGCAGCGATAAATATTACACAGCAACCCCTCATGCAGAAACAAACCCAGTCATTCATGAAGGAAGTCATGTATACACTTTGGCACCAAGCTTGTGCCATTGTTTCTCTTTCACTAAAGCAGCTGTGGGAAAGTGTATAAATTCAAAATTATAAAATACATTTTTTTGAAACTGTGAGAAACTGCATGCTTGCTGTCCTTGACAAAGTAGTGTTTGATGAAAATATTTTACACGTCCGTGGTCTTGAAAGCCCATGTTTTTTATAACCCACTTGTAATTGAAGTGGAATAGCCAAGACATGTGGGTTTTGTTTTCATCTAAATTTTCATTTTACGTGTCACTTGCCGATTCTTTCTCAAAACCAAAGGAAGTTGAAAGTGGCACAAAATTTTAAAAAAAGAACTGCTTTACCCATAATCCACTTTGTGCTTCCAATCAGCATAAACATATTTAAATTTCACTTTCTTCATCCTTCAGCGTCTCGTTTCAGCCACATACCAAAAAGGTCTCAACCCTCATCTCCCCATCGACCCTTTCCCATATTAGCTGCTGTCCTAACATATTCCAGCAATTACCAAATGACAGGCCAAGATATCCATGCAGCCACAGAGGCTGACTGGATGGTTTATCAGCTAATGAAGCAAAAATAAAGAAAGGCAGCTCGCTCCGCACTTTGTGTGTGAGGACGCTGGGCACGTGTCAGATTGAGGAGYCCTGAATCTGGGTTTGAAAGAAAATCTGCATAATGGAAGAGAACGGCAGCCAGCAGAAATATTGAGGTGTTGGAGTGAATAGAGCCAAAAAAATGCTGAATAGTCAAAGCAAAGTTAGAGGGTCAAAGCAGAAAAATGCACTGCTAAATGTCCCTGACATTAAACCATGAAATGTGGGGTTGGGCAAAATCAAATCATCAGAAAAACTTTAATCGATTATTTTTTTGGCACTTGACGATTAACATGGTTAATGCCACCAGGCAGACTGGTGATTTCCCGTCAGTCCGCTTGGTGCTCTTCTCTGCTTCAAATATGACAAACATTTTTTAAAAAAAGTTCTGTAATTTATTTATCATAACTCTAGTTTTACCTGGCCAATCAACACAATTTAAAAATCGATGTATAGCCTGAGGTCTGTACTTTTGACACRGTTTGGAACAGATTTTTTTGGCGAGCCAATGTTTCCCATAGAGTGATTTAAATTGTGTCATGTGACTAGGACATGCAGGGATCRTCATATTAATCGTTATCGGTTAAATACCACAATTAATTGTGATTATTTTTGCCAATATCATCCAACCCTAATGGTGTTGATCCATACAGTATCAGACTAGAAGCTCTCCTAGATGACTAGAACAATGTCTAAGTYTTTAACAAAAATGTTTTCCAATTAAAACTATATTGTTTAGTATAATAAAACTCACTTCTCTGATATGTGAAAAAAAACTTTATTTTTTTAAAGAGCAGAGAACTGATTCTTTTTATTCCTGCTAGTCACAAAACACAAAGCCTCAGATTCGCTGTGATTATAAATTACTGCAGGTGGAGCCTGGAGGTTCCTCAAATAAACTTACAACATGAGAACTTTCATAATGTTAGCTGATTTTTTTGCATTGTAAGTATAGACAAAATAAGAGCAGAGTATATTTAATTTATATTTAAGTTAACTAGTGTGTTTTTACTTCATTAAAATAAACATCAAGCTTTAAAAGTAACCATGATTATGAACATAGTCCTCCTTGACTAGTTTTCAGTCAGATTTTTAAAACTGTATCAGTTTTTGACAACAACAAAAAGGAGTTTCTACACATTTTTAATGAGAATATACTTTATGTATCCTGAGATAAATATGAACAAGAGGCTAGCAGCTGTAAATATGCTGACAAAATCAGATGTTATACATTAGATGAAAAGGAACTTATTAGGCCGATGGGCATATGTTATCTACTAACTTTTAAAATATTTTATTAAAAAAATACTTATTTCATTTCTCAGCTGCAGTTGGGAAATTCTTAACCAGCTTCTTAACTTTCTGCCTACCAGCCACTACCAGGTGAGTACTAGGCAGGTCCGCTGTAGGTCATAAGTTAAAATGTTTTGATATAACAGCTGATAAAGTGATTTTCACGTGTACATTTTGCAACTCTATTCACACTTCTTTTTTTAATCAAGCTAAATCTAAAGTCCTTTCCTTTGCTCTTCATGTTTGGGAATATAACTGAAAAKGTTCAGTAATGACCCAATGAGGGCTTTGTCCTCCTCAGAGTGAGGGATATCACTCTCTGTGGCCAGAAGGAACCCCTAACAGCTTGAAGTTTTAAGTAAMAAAACAGATATKTTGGACCAGTCAGCCAAAAACTGACTGCCACAAAGGAAGAGTCAGTTTTTAATGTCTCCCATCAGGCAGTTTGGTTTACAGGCAGTAATAAAGTGAATAGTACAAGGACTGACTGTAATACATGACAAATGCAGCACTGTCTGTGACCATCAAAGAGAATGTAATAAATACTGTGAACACTGACAAAAGCTGAACAACAGACAAGAAAATTGCAGCTTGTTTGAGTCTGATAATTGACGGCTGATGGAATAAGTGTTATCTCTTCAAAACTCAATTCTGCTGCAGTTCTAAAAACAGAAAATTATCGGTTTCATTTGGCATTCTGAACAGTTCGCATAATGTTTTCAAATCTCAGACTAGACGTCTCATCATGACTGCTCACACAGACCMCAGTAATCCACCACAGTGACAGATTAAGTATTGATTTAACTTCAGGTCATCTGAACATGGACGACATTTGGACAACTTTCTGAAATCGAATCGTATTAAAAGCAACTGTTTTGCAAATTTCTGTTTAAAAAAAATCAATACACATCCAGCATCTGAGAGACACAAAGGGCAACGTAAATGAATGTTACTTGGTCAATTTATTTTCCTTTAGAATATCCAAAAGATAGGACTATTTTTAGACCATGCACATATTTTTTTATTCACTTAAACAAAACAAAACAAATTCACATACAAAAAATAAATATATTATTAAACTAATAATTTAGAATATCCAAAAGGTCGATTCATAGGACTATTTCTCGATCATGCACAGAATTAAGACAGAAAACATGCTTCACACAGTTTGTTCGTTTTTGTTATAACAAACTTTCTTTAAAGTTAGAATTATTTATGGTTTCCATAAAGTTATTTATTTATGGTAGCAATGCAACAATTTGTCTTTAAACACAGAACACACTGTTGGCAGCAGACATTGAGTCAGTGCAACACATTTTGTTGAAAGGGAGGTGATCATGTAACGGCCATTCTGTGGGTGCATGAGTGATACTGTTAATTTGCCTTTGTTAGCAAAATATCTCAGGAACTAACTTATTTGTTTAAAATTATGGCATGCATTGTGGTGAGCAGCAAACATTCTTACAAGAAATACAGTATTATTGTAGTTTCTACTTCRTTTAATTTGAAGATAAGAACTGATTTAACTGTCCCAAAATGTTCAGCAGTGTTTGTCAGCAGTTAGTGTTGTGTCTGATGAGCTTTTAACAACCTTTGACAACAAATAATTTATTTTAACAWTTAAAATCAAATTTTATATTACATTTTACAAAATGCTATAGAGCCTCTGCTCCTGTTTGCATTCCTTCACATTCACCAGCAGAAATAAGCCTTTTTTTAAAGCTAACCTTGTCCTCCTGCAAATTTTAACAATTAATTTAATTTTAACAACTGGCAGATGTGGATATAAAACCAGRCTTTTGGGCTGCTATGTCTGTATGCTTCTTTAAAAAAAGATCATTCTTAGGTGTTCTGTTGAAAACACTGTTCAATGTCAAGGATGCTGAATTTTTTTTTCTTTTGGTAAAATGATAAGGATTCTTCTGTAGATCCTCAACATTTTCTACAATCTCCTGAGTGCCTTTAAGTGCATCGGTGTTGGTGCTATTTGAATTTATATTCATGTTTTTTTTACCAATAATTGCTGTTGCTATGAAGCTGTTATCATTACTATGTTCTCCCRTCAAAGGAATGCAAAGTATTAGATACCAGCAAAAATGGTTGTTAYGAAGCAAGCTATCAGCCAATTTAAACTTTGTCAGCTTTTGAGTGCACGACTCAAATCAGAGTGCTCGATTATAAAAATATACTGGCACAAACACACATGGTGTGTCTGTCACTAAYTGTTTTGCGAACACCAGTTGAACATGTTTTGGCTCAAAGCCGTCATCTGAACCATCATATAAAAACAAAAACTCTACGAGTCGTTCAGAAGACCTGAAACATCTGTAAGTCAGATAATGACAACAAAATGTTAGCATGTCATGGGAAAAAAACTTTTACAATATAAAACAAACATTGACATTACATTAAGTTAAAGGACAACAAAAGGACAGTAGTCTGGACAGATGAATTTAAAACAGGTTAATAACAGTTCTTCATTAAGTTTCCTTGAATTTTCTGTTTGCAATTTGTGTTTTCAAAATGGTTCCCTTTGCAACAATAWTCTGCTCTCTGAAATCTCAGGAAACAAACATGTCCCATTTTATTTAAAAAAAAATATGGCCACTGGAGATCTCACATCATTAGTGCAAACACTGCTTTTATGTTCAGAAATCCCCATTTTTAATCTCCTTCATTTTGTTTTACCAACAWACACAAACACCCAGAGACATTCGGTTCTACCCGTAATCACCTGTTTAATAAAGAATTTCCTGGCTGTGTGTGTGGGTGTAAAGAAACATTACCTTTAATCAAGTCACTGCTGTGACAACAGTTAAAACTATCGTCTCCAGGTAGCTGGGATAGAAAAGGTCCATAACAGTCAAGCCTGATTAGTCAAGCTTTTTAAATCACATGTTCATTTGCAACAATTGGATAGTCCTGGAAATTTTCTCCCAAGAGATCACCAGAGAAAGTGTTGTTTATGCCACACATTTGAATATATTTGGACAAAGAGGAAAGTRTAGCTGTTCTCATGCTTCGTACATCAGCTTAAAATCATAGTTTTCATGATAATTTCTCACTTTGGACAAAAATGTGTTCAGCAGGAATGAAAAACTGTTCTTAGATGACAACTCTATCCAAAGCAGGTGTTTATCTCCAAGCTTCATTCTGATCCAGTTCAGAAAACTCCCAGTGTTCCTTCACTGGAGGCTTCAGATGCCTTAATTTCCAGACCTTCTCCTTTTCCTTTCCCTCAAACGACAGTCTGTCATTCAGCCATGCTTCCAGACGAGCTGCGGAGTCTCAGCAGCTCTCCAGTCACGCATCAATCTGAGCTGCAGCTGCAGATTAAAGCGACAAATCTCATGAACTTGGTGCACCTGCRGGACGTCCTCCTTATGGTGAGGCAGATGTTAGAACTGAGGAGGCTCACTGRGTTTTACGCACCGAGACGCACTGACCCATGAACTCACGCGCATTGCAGGCAAAAAATAAAATCTCCGATTTATGATTATTTCCTTCAATAAAGAAGAATAAAACATACAACACTGACAACGTAATCCACAAATGAGACATTTGGTGAAAAGTGTTTCTGTCTGCAGCTGAACCAATCTCCCTTTTACRCACGTGCTTCCAGTGCAAAAATGCATACAATAAAATACTGCATTTATTTTTACTTTTTTGTGTTGTACTCACCTTGGTAGCATGATGCCCACAGGTAAAKTCCAACTAATGTGAATCCGTTGCGCTTCCAAATCTCCATTTCTGCGTCGGAGGAAAACTCTCCGCTGGAAAAATTCAACTTGAAGCAGTCGGATTGCTGCTCTCTCTGTCTCTTTCACCTTGTCTGGTCGGATCACACACACATGCATACAGACACACACATTCATATACACACAGGATGTCTGTCTCCGTGTTTGGCTCGAGCGTCACTCCAAAAGTCACTTTGGATTCCGCTCCGGCTGCGTTCGGCTGTAGTTTTCTGAAGAGTCTGCGCACTTCCTGTTGAATCAGCGCGCGCGGATGATGACAGCCACCTGTCCGCTCACTGGAACACCGCCAACTTCGTCRGGGTTTGTCCCCCCAGAGGCAGGATATGGACTCATCGCGCGCACTTAACGCGTGATGACTCGCAGAGCGCTGAACACGCAGAGTTCCAATCTGCGCACATCTCCAACAGAGGGCGACTGGCCCCGCCCCCTCACCTTACAGAAAACTTTTTTTTTCTTTTTCATGCTGTTGTTGGATAAATTATTTATGACAGATTTAAGTAGAAATCGTGATATTTTCCTTCTGAAGGATAAACAAAAATATTCACAACAACAAAACCCACAACAGATTCTCCAACATGCGACCCCTGAAGGAGGGATCCTGCTGAAT